CCATCGTAGATATCACTATTTCTTAGGTTCAAGTCAGGATTTCTCGAAATATCAAAATTAACAATCATCTATGTTAATCTGTTATAAGCAGAAAATTAAAAATGATAAGGAAAAACGTTTGCATAAAAATTAATGATAATGAATCAAAATATTATAATTCATAACAAATGCTACCATAGATATCACCATTTCTTAGGTTCAAGCCAGAAATTCTCAAAATATCAAAATCGCCAGCAGACATCGCCAAAAACTATGAATGAATTAATAGATTTTGTTAAAAGTGCCTTCGACTCATTAACTAAAGAAAAGTTAGATAACGTATTCTCAACACTACAAAAGTGCATGGAATCAACCATGATGGCCTCAGCAGGCAACAACTATAAAATTGAATAAATTTGAATCTGAATATGCTACAGAAAAACTTTTCGAACGAAAGTTGTAGCAAATTGTATTCTTAACAAAATTACTCTCAGACGCATAGATATCGAGAAAAATATGAAAATTCATGAATAAAGAAAAGCTTCGCCATGAAGAGCGTTTACATTGAACCAGCTAAATTGCGTTTAAAAGTGTAACATTTTCATTAATGTATGTTTAAATTAATATAGAAATTGTATTATTAATTTTAAAAACACAATAAAGCAGTTTCCAAAGTTTACCATACCATAATTTGATACAAATTGTAAAGAGAAATGTATATCATAATTTGGAACAAAGTTTCGCTGGAAAATCTTAGGATTTACCGTAGTTCGGGGTTTTACAATAACATATATTATATCTATAATTTTTAGTTTATGGAGGCTTTGGTATATTTTATTATAAAAATTGTGATATCATTCCCTCCTTTATTTCTAAAACTCCAATTATAACGACGTTTCGGGAAATGTTCCCATCATCAGGTCAATAATACTCTTATCTAAAGAAACACGAATTACTAAATTAAAACTATATATATATATATATAATAATATTATACAAATTAAAAGAACACATTAAAAGTAAAAAAAAATTTAAAAATATAATATAAATTAACAGAATTATACTCAGAATGACACATAAATAAAATGTGTCAAACATTTAACAAACATTTACAATAAAATAACATTTTATGCTAATCGTTTTATTACGAGAATAATTTGTAACTTTTTAGGATACAAAATACACTATTTTACATAACACTGCCGAGGCCGAGGCATTAAAATTAATCAAAACGATAATTGCATCACTTTTAAACTTAAAATATAGGATCTAAAATGAATTTTTATTCGACTGTATACAATATATACAGTTCCGAGGCCGAGGCATTCGATTTGATATTAATCTATACAACCCAACCCCAGTTTTAACAAATTTTTGAGATTTTTACTTTATTATAAAACAAACACTTCCCACTCGGTTCTTTTTATTTTCTCGGAACTAGTTTCGGCTTATAAAGCCATCATCAGCCGAATAGTCAAGTTAAAATCTTCTTAAAACGTAAAAAGTCATAAAGATATTTATTTACAACATGTATATAGAATTACTAAATTATATATTATAACTCAATAGTTTTGAAAAAACAATTTTTAGGCCTAATCTTTAGAGTCAATATTAAATCGATACAATTTTGAATTCAAATTTAAAAAAAAATTGCAACTATCTGAATATATATATGTTAATCATACAATTTAGAACAATTTATCAAACACCTTCCAGATTTTATCTGATTATGTTATATGAGGCCGCTTGCGGCTGAGGCATTACAGTTAAAGTCTGGAAAAGAATGTTTTGTACTTTATATGTTACTTGTGATTAATTTGATCTTTATCTTTGAAGATGGCAATAACCGAAACTAGTTAGACAATTTTAAAGGTTGCTTGCAGCCGAGGCATTGAAGTCAATACAATTAATCGAGGATTTTTAACAACTAATCTTAACATATTGTAAGATAAATATCTTTCTGTTAGACTTTGTGCATCTTTACCAATAGTTCTAAAACCTTGCCTCAGTGCCTCAGCATATCTCAACATATATTTATTATAATCCCATAATAACCATTTTTTTTTTTTTTAATTATTTGTATATTTTTTAATTGTTTTAGTGATGGAGAAGATTGAGATTACCCAAAATGAGGATTTTTTGGTATTTAGACTTAATTTAAAGGATATATACTAAAAAATGAAAAATTTTTCAAACTGAGTTAAAAAATTTTGAAATAAAATAGTGTTAGGAACAAATTTTTTTCCTTGTTGTATTTGAGTTCACCTCTAACACCAAAAAGTGACCAAAAACTCGATGAAATTCGACACACTCCCGCCCCCCATTCAACGTTCAACACGAAACCCACCAATGGTGATGTTTTCCCATCGAAATCCCTCGTCGGTCGAGGCGTGGCCTCTCAAATTACCTCTTGTCCCGTGCCAGACACNTGTAATATAGCCGAGGCCGCTTGCGGCCGAGGCATTAAAGTTAATCAAAACGATACGTGCATCATTTTTAAACTTAAAATAGAGAATCTAAAATGAATTTTTATTCGAGTGCTTTATTTACTACAATATATACAGTTTTATTTAATAATGCCGAGGTAGCTTGCGGCCGAGGCATAAGTTTGGATATTATATCGATGCCAATTAATTTATAACTTTTTGAGACACAAAATACACTATTTTACGTCATATAGCCGAGGCTGCTTGCGGCTGAGGCATTTGAGTTAATCAAAACGATACGTGCATCATTTTTAAACTTAAAATACAGAATCTAAAATGAATTTTTATCCGAGTGTTTTATTTACTACAATATATACAGTTTTATTTAGTAATGCCGAGGTCGCTTGCGGCCGAGGCATAAGTTTGAATATTATATCGAAGCTAATTAATTTATAACTTTTCGAGACATAAAATTCACTATTTTATGTAATATAGCCGAGGCCGCTTGCAGCTGAGGCATTTGAGATAATCAAAACGATACGTGCATCATTTTTAAACTTAAAATATAGGATCTAAAATGAATTTTTATTGGAGTATTTTATTTAGTACATTATATACAGTTTTATTCAATAATGCCGAGGTCGCTTCGGCCGAGGCATAAATTTGGATATTATATCGAAGCTAATTAATTTATAACTTTTCGAGACACAAACTACACTATTTTATGTAATATAGCCGAGGCCGCTTGCGGCCGAGGCATTAAAGTTAATCAAAACGATACGTGCATCATTTTTAAACTTAAAATATAGGATCTAAAATGAGTTCGAGTATTTTATTTAGTTCAATATACAGGATGAGTTAATAGTATCCCGGCGGTCGATAGCTACTAAACCGTTTGAAAAATAAAAAAATATTTTATATAAAAGTTGTTTGACTCATGACTTTTTATTCCGCAAAATTATTTTCATTTATACAGGATGTTCCATTTAAGCGTAATGGAGAGTATGTTGATTTTTTTAAATGGAACAGCCTGTATATTTTATCATATTGTGAATAGTATTAAATTTGTTTATACAACTGTATATAATTGTATACAATTGTTCTTTCAAAATGTGCCCATTATATAGGCTCTTTTTAAAAACGATGTAAAAACGACATTTTTTTCAATTTTCCCTTGAAACTACGTCAGACAATAGTCAAAGCTAGTAGGTAGATGATATTATTCAAAGATATAAGATTCACTATACAGGTTGTTTATAAAGCTTAGTTACTTTTAATGTTTTTCAAATGGCTTTTTCTTAAGTTTTTTTTAAATGGAACATCCTGTATATTGTGTACTGGTTGAATTGCCCATCAAGTTTTCTTTAATTAATGATAAGTATGTCATATTTCTAACTTTGATAGTTTTCTTGATATTTAGAATTTAAAGAAAAATGTTAAATATTAAAATATAATTAAAAAAAAACTTTAATAAATAAATAATCAACAGTCGTAAATTATATGGCAGAACAATTGCATATTTTATTACTTACATCTTTTCTAATTTCTCGGAACTAGTTTCGGCTTATAAAGCCATCATCAGCCGAATATTCAGATTAAAATCTTCTTAAAAGATGTCATAAAGATGTTTATAAAAGTAGTACAAGTTATAACATGTAGATATGCAGGATCACTAAATTATGAAAAAAGAAAAACAGATAATGGTGGTTATTTAATATAGCCGTGGTATTAAAGTTTATAAAAGAATGTTTTGTACTTTAAATTTTGAAACTAGTTAGTCAATTTTAAAGACAGGTTGCTTGCAGCCGAGGCATTGAAGTCGATTGATACAATTTTGATAAATGATTCAATTATTGTTTTTTTAATTATTTGTATATTTGTTTTAGTGATATATAATTGGAAGAAAAAAATTTAAAAACCAATCTATGGAAAAGATTGAGATTACTCAAAATGAGGATTTTTTTGGCTTTTAGACTCAATTTGTAGGATGTGTACTAAAAAATGAAAAATGTAATTAAAGTGGGTTATAAATTTTTTAAAATTTTCTTAAGTAAAAATGTGTTAGGAACTAATTTTTTTCTTTATTGTATTTCAGTTCACCTCTAACACCAAAAAGTAACCAAAAACTCGATGAAATTCGACACACTGCCGCCCCCCATTCAACGTTCAACACGAAACCCACCAATGGTGATGTTTTCCCGTCGAAATCCCTCGTCGGTCGAGGCGTGGCCTCTCAAATTACCTCTTGTCCCGTGCCAGACACTCTTTTAGTAAGCACCGAGTATCCTAGGAGATTACCCGTTTCATATCACCAAAATAATCTTCGCCGATTCGCGTCGAAACAAATCGAAAAGTTAATTAAAAAAAATTTTATACAATTTTTTTTTAATTAATTCATAGAATTTAGTGCGAAAAGTTTTTACGAGAAGAGTTTTTTACAAAAAAAGTTTTTTTATAAATAAAGTTGTTATAAAAAAGTTACCATCCAAGTTAAAAGTGTACACACGTGTTTAAATTTATTATATTTAGTTATTTGTGGGAAATGCGAGGATAGTTTTTGTAAATTAAACTTTCGTTGTTTGGTCGATGTGTAAAGGTGCGATCGATATTATGGATAATATGTCCATGGCGCATGGGTTCCAAGGATATCCATTTCAAGGTAAATTAAGCAAAAAAAAGCAAATAAAAAATATGTCGTTGTTGTTGTCGATGGTGAAATATTTTCCCATCAAAACTTCTCTTGTGGTACAGTTACATAAAGATAAAGCTTTACAATGGATAAAGTCCTTGTCGAAGCCGCCGTCTTGCTATCCATAGTCCTTTCGATACAATAGAAAATAGAACCTGGTTGATACTTGACGTTATTGTTTAGGAGTCTTCAATGAAAAACGTTTCTTAAAACGAATATTTTTTTAATTAGAGTGTTAAAAACAATTTTTTGTTGTTAGGTCAAGGAAGAGTGAATCAATTGGGAGGCGTTTTTATCAATGGGAGACCTTTACCGAATCACATCCGATTAAAAATCGTCGAAATGGCTGCGGCGGGAGTTCGCCCCTGCATGATTTCGAGGCAATTAAGAGTGTCCCATGGATGTGTTAGCAAAATTTTAAATCGATACCAGGTAAAAATCAAAAATCAATAACATTTTCGTAAAGACAAGAAAATTTTAACCCAATTTGATGTGCCACAACCCTAATTAACCCATCAAAACCGAATTTGACCACAAAATTGACGTTTATAATTAGTGTTTTGTTTTCGGCCATTTTGAATTTTGTTAAAATTAAAAACGTTAATATCTTAATAACGATAACGATTAAGTATATCGAGTTTGGGTTCATTTTAACGTGATTTTTGTGGGTTTTTAGGAAACCGGAAGTATTCGACCGGGAGTGATCGGCGGATCGAAGCCGAAAATTGCCTCGGGGGAGGTTGAGGCGCGAATCGAGGAATACAAGCGGGATCAACCCTCTTTGTTTAGTTGGGAGATTCGCGATCGGTTAATCAGCGATGGTTTTTGCGATAAAACGACGGCTCCGAGCGTTTCGGCGATTTCGAGATTGTTAAGGATGAAATGCGAAGACGGTGAGATAATAAAAAAAAATCGGGTTGCGAAATTTGTTTTAAATAACAAAGTTTCGAAACGAATAACCTCGAAATAAATTTTAAAAAAAATTAGTCGGCCATTTTTTGTTTGTTTGAAAATAATCGAGGAACCATTTTGGAAGAATTCGTCGCCATTTTGGAATTGTTTTTGATTATGTTTTTGAAATTTTTCGTTAAAATTATTAAAATAATTTATTTTTTTTTTAATTACGCCGGTGAAAAGATCAAAAGAGGCTGCGATGCGGCAAGATCAAAAACTATTCCTCGCTTAATAGTGCAACGATGACGTAACACGTTTTAAGATGATCGTTTTAAGACACCTACTTTTTATTATTTCGGTTTTTTTCTTCTTAATTTCCCCTCTTTTTCTTTTAATTACAACTTAAAATCGCTTCCAAGAATCGAAAAATAATTTCGGTTAAATCTCGATATAACGGATATCGGATATAACGAACAAAATAATTTTAAATCATAGTTTGTGTTTGCGGTCATAGAAAAAATTATGACCCTACGCATCAACGGCGAATAACAATTAGGAAGAAATAAGTTAAGAGCTAGTTATCTTGAAAGAAGAAGTAATAAAAGCTATACGCCACATAAAGATAAATAAGATCTAGAGCAGATCAGATACAGGCAGAAATTTTCAAAGATAATGCGATTGTAAAACTGCTTTTAGATCTATGCAACAAAATATGGAAAAAGACCATAACACTGGATAACATTTGGTTGTAAAATCAATTGGAGGAAATTACAAAGAAATTAACTGATTAAAGACTCTGTTCAACCCGAAATTTGCATAGAAATAATGGAAAACTAGTTTGTAATGAAATAAAAACTGGAAGATGTATGAAACATGCTAAACATGATGAAGAATCCCCTGCAGTTTAAATTAAACTGATTAATAACTCTGCTCAACCTAAAATTTGCAAAAATTGAAAAATATCCGGATTCGGAAAGAAATAAGAAATGACAAGCATAATTTTCTTTGCGTATTTGCTGTTATAAATAAAGAGGAATGCAATGCAACTCAAATTGACACAGTTAAAAGTTCTGCTCAAGTCAAAAGTTGCAAGAATTTAAAAAAAAAACTGGTTTCCAGAAGAGTTGAAGATGACCAAAACATGAAAAACTAGTATTGTAATGAGATAGGACATAGCAGAACTATTTTTATAAATATTTGCTGTTTTAGACGTGATGAGAAATCTGCTACAACTCAAATTAAATTGATTAAAGATTCCACTCAACCCGAAATTTGCAAAAAAAATCATGGAAAACTAGCATTGTCATATTTTGTTATAAAAATACTTCTGTCATTTTCTATTTCATTACCAATCTAGTTATCCATGATTATCTTTGCAGATTTCAGGTTGAGCAGAATCTTTAATTAGTTTAATTTGAGCTGCAACAGATTTCTCATCATATTTATAATGCAAATATTGCCAAAAAATAATTCTGCCATTTCCTATTTTATTGCAAAACTAGTTTTCTATGATTTTTATGTAAATTTCGAGTTGAACAGAGTCTTTAATCAATTTAATTTAAGCTGTAGCAGATTTCTCACCATGTCTAAAACACCAAATAATATAACCAATATTTCTGCCATTTCCTATTTCATTACAAAACTAGCTTTCCATGTTTTTCTTGCAAAATTCAAGTCTTACCGCATAATGTGGCATATATGGGACGTTTTTGACGTTTTATGTACAGATGTGTTGCTGTATTTATATGGCACATAAAGCTTTTTTCAAAGTATTTCGAATAGATTTATTTGCAGTAATGCAGTAAGGGGTTATAATGCAAATATTACAAAAAAATAACCCTTGCCATTTTTCATCTCACTACAAAACTAGTTTTTCATGATTTTTTGCAAATTTCGGGTTGAGCAGAATCTTTAATCAGTTTAATTTAAGCTGTAGCAGATATTTTATCATGTCTAGAACAGCAAATATTTAAAAAATACTCCTGCCATTTCCTAGTTTCTGCAAAACTAGCAGAAAAATGTGAAATATGAATCATTTGAATGAAAAGTCTTGATAAACCGCCAAAAAATGAAAATGTTTCTTATTTCCATATGAGCAGAACTTCTGATCACTTTCTTCTCCATCATTTCTAACTCTAAATAAGAAGAAAACATTTTTGGACACATTCCTATTTATGTGTAATCATTTTCAACTTTTCTGCAAAGCAGCTTTCTTTTAATTCTTGCAAATTTTGTGATTTTTCTAAATCTAGTGTTAGTTCTGTTGACAAAAGTAGGTAGATCCAGTTAGTACTAGTAACGCTAGATTGTATATTTTTATTGAATTAGAACTAACACTAGATTTTGAAAAATCACAAAATTTTCAAGAATTAAAAGAAAGCTGGTTTGCAGAAAAGTTGAAAATGACCAAAAAAATTAACTTTCCGAATAAATTGGAATGTGTTCAAAAATTTTTTCTTCTTATTTAGAGTATTAGAAATGATGGAGAATGCGATGTAGTTCGAACTAAAGTGATCAGAAGTTCTGCTCATATGGAAATAAGAAACATTTTCATTTTTTGGCGGTTTATCAAGACTTTTCAATCAAATAATTCATATTTCACATTTTTCTGCTAGTTTTGCTTTTTGACAGTTCGTCGTTATCTATAATCTAATTTTATAATCGTTTTCGATTTTTCTAATTAGCTTTTGGCTGATATATTAAAATACATGTAAAGTAGTAAGTTCTAATCAAGTGTTTTTCCAACGTGCCCAAAGAAATTTGCAAAAAATCATGGAAAACTAGTTATGTAATGAAATAGGAAATGGCAGAAGTACTTTTTGTGTTTTAGAATTATGCCGCAGTTCAAATTAAACTGATTAACAATTTTGCTCATCACAATATTTGCAAAAAATCATGAAAAATTAGTTTTGTAATGAAATAGGAAATGGCAGAAGTATATTTTCAATATTTAGACATGATGAGAACTCTGATGAGAAAAATTCTGCTTAACTCGATATTTGCAAAAAATTATCGAAAACTAGCTTTGTAATGAAATAGCAAATGGCAGGAGTATTTTTTAAATATTTGCTGTTTTAGACATAATGAGATATCTGCTACAGCTCAAATTAAATTGATTAAAGATTCTGCTCAACCCGAAATTTGCAAAAAATCATGAAAAACTAGTTTTGTAGTGAAATGGAAAATGGCAAGGGTATTTTTTTGTAATATTTGCATTAACCCCTTACTGCATTACTGCAAACAAATCTATTACATTATTAACCTATTCAGAAGCTCAGAAACCATTGAAAATATGTATACAATTGTTTTCTTCTTCAAAATACTTCGAAAAAAGCTTTTGTGCCATATAAATATAGCAACACATCTGTACATAAAACGTCAAGAACGTCCCATATATGCCACATTATGCGGTAAGACCTGAATTTTGCAAAAAAAAAAACATGGAAAACTAGTTTTGCAATGAAATAGGAAATGGCAGAAATATTGTTTGTATTATTTGGTGTTTTAGACATGGTGAGAAATCTGCTATAGCTTAAATTAAATTGATTAAAGACTCTGTTCAACCCGAAATTTGCATAAAAATCATAGAAAACTAGTTTTGCAATAAAATAGGAAATGGCAAAATTATTTTTTGGCAATATTTGCATTATAAATATGACGAGGAATATGTTACAACTCAAATTAAACTAATTAAAGATTCTGCTCAACCTGAAATCTGCAAAGATAATCATGAATAACTAGATTTGTAATGAAATAGAAAATGACAGAAGTATTTTTATAACAAAATATGACAATACTAGTTTCCCATGATTTTTTTTGGAAATTTCGGGTTGAGTTGAATTTTTAATCAGCTTAATTTGAGTTGTAGCAGATTTCTCATCATGTCTAAAACAGCAAATATTTATAAAAATAATTTTGCTATGTCCTATCTCATTACAATACTAGTTTTTCATGTTTTGGTCATCTTCAACTCTTCTGGAAACCATTTTTTTTGAAATTCTTGCAACTTTTGACTTGAGCAGAACTTTTAACTGTGTCAATTTCAGTTGCATTGCATTCCTCTTTGTTTATAACAGCAAATACGCAAAGAAAATTATGCTTGTCATTTCTTATTTCTTTCCGAATTCGGATATTTTTCAATGTTTGCAAATTTTGGGTTGAGCAGAATCATTAATCAGTTTAATTTAAACTGCAGGGCATTCTTCATATGTTTACAATGCAAATATTGCAAGAAAATATTTCTGCCATTTCCTATTTTATTACAAAACTAGTTTTCCATGATTTTTTTGCAAAATTCGGGTTAAGCAGAACCTTTAATTAGTTTAATTTGAGATGTAGCAGATTCCTCATCATGTTTATAATGCAAATATTGCAAGAAAATATGTCTGCAATTTCCTATTTTATTACAAAACTAGCTTTCCATGATTTTTTTGCAAAATTCGGGTTAAGCAGAACCTTTAATTAGCGACTGTAAAACTGCTTTTAGATCTATGCAACAAAATATGGAAAAAGACCATAACACTGGATAACGTTTGGTTGCAAAATCAATTGGAAGAAAATCTAGCATATTCAAAAATCTAGCGCTTATTAACAATTAAAACTAGAACTAACACACTTCTAGTTTTAGTTCTACAAAAATATACAACCTAACGTTATCTAATGTTAATTACCTCCACCTACTTTTGTCAACAGAACTAACAACTAGATCTAGAACTAGAAACATTCGGGTTTAGCCGTCTTAAGGGACGTGCAAAATTTTTTTCTTCTTATTTAGAGTATTAGAAATGATGGAGAATGCGATGTAGGTCGAACTAATGTGATCAGAAGTTCTGCTCATATGGAAATAAAAAACATTTTCATTTTTTGGCGGTTTATCAAGACTTTTCAATCAAATGATTCATATTTCACATTTTTCTGCTAGTTTTGCCTTTTGACAGTAAGTCTGTTCGTCGTTATCTATAATCTAATTTTATAATCGTTTTCGATTTTTCTATTTAGC